GTGTGTGTGCGCATATTTGTATGCTCATCTGCGGGGTCTCTTCCCCCCCCCCCCTTCCTCCTAACCCTGCACTCCCCATGCACTCACCAAACCCACGCCACTGCACATGCGCGTGTCGCACGCCACGGCACCACGCCAATGTAGAGCTTGTTTGGCAGCGACGAGGCAGATTAACCCCTGTGACGAGGGGTGCCTCCTTCGGTTTCTCCCGTCCTTGTTCCGTTTCCATTTCATAGGTGCTGTCTTTGTGCTTGCTGGAACATTTCCCACACACGCACACACACTCACACACGCAACCCACAACACCACACAGCACGCAGTTGTATTGCTTGCTGTCTTCACCCTTCTTGCTTGCTTGCCCTTGCTTTTGTTGAAGCGACACGTAATTGACCTGCTTCTTTGTCTGTTCCCTTTTCTTGTGAATGAATGATGCATGAAGCCTGCGACAGGAATAGAGACGAAGAGAGGAGGGAGGTGAGAGGTGTGGGGGAGAGACAGAGAGAGGGAGAAAGACAGCGCGATACACACACACACACACACATGGCTGGAAATTCCGTTGGTGTCGTGGCAAATTGTCCTCTCCTGCCACCACACATTACCACATGGGCTGTTTTGCGCTTTGGTTGAGGAGTGCACGCACTGCTGCTTCCGCTGTCCCCGTATTATCGCTGTCGCCTCGCTGCTGCTGTAACACCAACGCCACCAACGTTGTCGCGTCCTGCCTTCGAACACCAGCAACACCCCGCATCGCTGTAACCACCGTTCGCTCGTTCACAAACTTCGGGCTCAGCACAGACCCACCCGCAAAGAAGAAGAAGACCAAGAAGAAGAAGAAAAGCACCATGCCGCCCAAGAAGCAGCAGGAGTCTGAAGAAGACGGCCCTCTTCTCCTCGGCCGCTTCGGTACCTCCCTCAAGATTGGCATCGTCGGCCTCCCCAACGTCGGGTGCGTTTTTTTGGAGAGTGGAGGCTCTGAGTGTGGAGAGACGGGTGCATTTTGTTTCTGTTGTATGCATGTGCCCCGATCTGGCACCTCTTCGATGGTGTGTGTGCGTGTGGGTGTGTGTGCGTGGGTGTGCGTGTGTGCGTGTGGGTGTGCGTGTGTGCGTGTGTGTGGCAACGAGTGCTTTGTTTGTGTGTTGTACGCACCCTCCCCCTCCGCTCACATCGGTGTGTGCCTGTTGCGGATGCTTTGTCCGTGTCGTGTGTCTCGCTTGTGTGTGGCGTGCAGCAAGTCCACCACGTTCAATGTCTTGACCAAGAGCGAGGCGCCCGCCGAGAACTTTCCCTTCTGCACAAAGGGTGAGCGGCCACTTGCAGACGCCGTGTTATCTATCCCTGCAATCCAATCAACAACAACAGTAGTTTTGCGCACGCACTTCCCCGCTGAGCCATGTTGACTCACTCACTCGCTGACGCCTCCGCTCTTTTTTCATGGGTTGTTGCAGACCCCAACGAGGCGCGCGTGCCTGTCCCGGATGAGCGCTTTGACTACCTGTGCGAGCATTTCAAGCCACCCTCCAAGATCCCCGCCTTTCTCCATGTCATGGACATTGCCGGTCTCGTCAAGGGCGCTTCCGAGGGCCTGGTGCGTATGTGTGTTTGTGTTGTTGTTGTTGTTGTTGTTGTTGTTGTTGTTGTTGTTGTTGTTGTGGTGGTGGTGGTGGTGGTGGTGTGTGCCTGTGTGTCTGTGTCTATGTGTCTATGTGTTTTGTATCTACTTCTGTGTTCTTCTTTCTTGGTTCTTCTGTCTTCAATGCTCGTTCTGCGTTCTTCGTTCTTCGTTCTTCTTTCTTGGTTCTTCCTTGTTTTCGTTGTCAACTTTGATTGGTGCTCATTTCCCCCTCCCCCAACCAAACACCCGTTCTTGCATCTCCACAGGGCCTCGGCAATGCGTTCCTGTCCAACATCAGCGCGTGCGACGCCATCTACCACGTGGTGCGCGCGTTCAAGGACACGGAGATCTCGCACGTGGAGGGCGAGGTCGACCCCGTGCGCGACCTGGACATCATCAGCAACGAGCTGCGCATGAAGGACTTGGCCAAGGCGTCGGACCTGGCGAACAACGTGCGCAAGCTGGCGGAGCGCGGCGACAAGAAGAAGAAGAAGGAGCTTGAGATCTACGAGAAGATTGAGAAGCACCTGAAGGAAGGCAAGGACATTCGGTATGGGGAGTGGTCGCGCTCCGAGATTGAGGTGTTGAACGAGCACCTGTTTCTCACGGCCAAGCCCGTCATCTACCTGGTCAACCTCTCCGAGCGCGACTTCAAGCGCAAGAAGAACAAGTGGCTGGGGAAGATCAAGGAGTGGGTTGACGAGCACGAGAAGAACGCCATCATCATCCCATACAGCGCGGATGTGGAGTTCCAGCTCGCCTGCCTCCCCGACGACGCAGAGCGCGAGAAGTTCTGCAAGGAGCACGAGATCCAGAGGTGTGTCGTGTGTGTGTGTGTGTGTGTGGGTGGGTGTGGGTGTGCGCGCGCGTGCGTGCTGTGTAGGC